CGGAGCGCGACGGGCTGGGCCGGCCGGCGCGGGCCGCGCGGTTCGCGGAGTGGCACGAGTGCGCGCGGCTGGGCGAGCTGGTGGCGCTGCCGTACGTGGTGCTCGACTGACGGAGTAGTGCCAAATGCGTGTCGCCCGCGCCGCCCACACCCAAGTGTCCTTACGTTAGTTATAGTGGCCGGCCGGCGGATACATGCCTAGTCATATATATTTATTTTGTAACGGCCGATGACGAGTCGTAGCGGGCGGGTCTCCCGCGCCCGCTTGTGATATTATGTAGGAGGCCGCCTGGGGGACGCCGATACATTCCCGGTCGAGACACGCGCGACATCACACACGTGACCCGAGCCGCAGACTGAATCTGAGACCGCGCGCGATGTGTCGACGCTCTTGGTATTTTTGTAATTGATAGTACATGCATTGCTCACTCGATATAGTGCCTCAGATCGCGCGCGGTCTCTGCGCCGAGTGATGGACTGCGGAGCCCCTCGGCCTCGCGCGGCCTCGCGCTCCGGTCCACCACTTACTTGTATAGTTATAGAGTTCCCAAATAAGATTTAAATAATAATCTCCCGACTGTTTCATAAGTTGTCGTTACCTTTTGTGATTTTTAAAATGAAAGAAAGAAAAAATTAGGTAATTAATAAATAATTAAATAGGAGTTCCAATTGTATATTATACATAATTATTGCATCTATCATGCGTCGAAATATCAATGATAAGGGAAAGAGAATGTTAAATTTTATAAATATAAACATTTACTATATGAAAAGTTGTACCAAATTGTTGTTGTTGATATAGACAGCGCACACCGCGCCGCCGTCCTGTACATACGACCACCAGCTTCCAGTACAGCCACGGACCAACGATGGGACACTAGTACACAGTAGTGTCTGTACACAGTAGTGTCTGTACACAGTAGTGCCTGTACACAGTAGTGTCTGTACACGCGAGCGCTTGTGTAGCCGCGGCCGCCGCGGTGTGCGCGGTCTCGATAAGAATATAATTGTCTGTTACTATATAAATAACAAAAAAAAACTAATTATTATCAGATTATAAAATTATCACGAAATTGTAAAGTTCCTAGTTTTGATTCCGTTTAACAAAGCGAGCACTGTATGGTATGTAATGACAATTTGGTAAATTTTTCACCATTATCTTGTATGGAAAAGACAAGTTTTGAGTATCTATAGTTGAATATTGTTACATACAGTTTGTTATCACGTTTACAAAGATGCCAAATGATGCCGCTGTGCGGTGATTTACTGTATGTGTTGTGTTTATGGTAATTGTGATGCGAACGTGCGAGCTTTTATGTTTTCGCTGAATAATACGTTTTTGTAAAAGTTAAACTCTTTATTTTTAATTTACCGTTAGGTTTATGTGTAATTGTGTTGTTTCGAGAGAAGGACGAGTGTTATTGGTGGTGTTGCAATAGTACACAGGTACCAACATTGTGGTGATATTCAACCATAGATACCGCGGCTCGCACGTACGAGCGAGCGACCGGCGGCTCGTGCGACAGACTGACCCCGAACTGTCCACGACCACGCAATCAATAAGTGCCTATCGCCTGTCGCATGTCGCAGCCGCGCGCCTCGAGCGGGCCCAGTCGCCGGTCGCCGGTCGCGGCCGCTCGGTAGTGTTAGTAGCGAGTGTCGCCGCGCGACCGGCGCCGCGCCGCGGGCCTTACGTGCGTGCTGCGGGTGAAGCCGTCGACCTGTGCGACGGCGACGTACCCCGTCACTGCCTTGTTGGACGAGATCCAAAAACTTTGCTAAACAAACGAAAATATATATATCACTGTGTTTTTATTATCCCTTTGTTTTATTTTGTTTACAAAGTTACTTGTTTGGAACTGGTTGTGCCGCTAGCGACGTTACAGAGTAATTTCGAATTTACTTCTCTTATATTGGCTGTTGGCTGTATCCTGTGACTATTTTGTACAAAATATTTACTCTTGTAAGGAGATGTTTTGCTTGGAACAGTGAATTTCTCTGAATGGACACAATGGACAAAAATAAAACAATATCAAGTTAATAAAATTTATTATTAATAAAAATTACAATATCTTTCTATACACAATAGAACTGAGCGCATTTTTATTGCAGACAATAATCCCCCACTCGAATAACTCGTACTTGTGAATGTAGGTGGCAGCACCGTAGCACTCAATTTGACAGGTTCAGTTATTGTATGCGCCCAGTTAATCACGTGTTTTAAAATTAAAATTAAAAATATCATTAATGGCACCATGTTAGTTGCTTGAGTACAGACAAACAATTTACAGACGATATTTCATTTATTGTCCAGTTTTATTACATTAATTAGACAAATATAATTGAAATCTTTGTTAATGAGATTCGTTGAAATATTCGTTGTGTAGAATCTAAATACACTTTCTTAGGAGAAGCATATAGATACTTACATCATAATAAATAAAACATTTAATAGTTCTGATATACAGTTTGTCATCGACCTTAAACTCATCGTGAAGGTCATATTTACATACAAATGTGAAGAGCTTGACATTTCCTTGAAACCGTAAATAAAACAAGGTCATTTAGCCGTTAGCTGTGAAAACAAAATCGAAATAATTGCATATTACGTGTAAATCTTACAATTAAAAATAATATCAACATTAACATTGAGAGTCCAAATTCACCAAAGACTGGTGAAAATGGAATGTCGGTAAGGAGTTTTACATGATCACGCATGGCATGGCGCAGCATAGAGGTAGGCAGATTGGAACGGCTGTCTTCGTCTCAGAATGCTTTGATTTGCTTCGAGAGCCAGATTCGTACTCGTACATGCCCCGGGCTGACGCGTAACTCCCACCTCCTTGTGCCATCGCCTGTAAAAAAATACACATAGGTAAGTATGGGCTCTTGTCAGAAAAATAACTGGTTACGTAAGTATTTAGCGTCATGAAATCAAGCGACAAATCAGACCCCATGTTACTTGGGATTCATCAACATCGTCTTCAACAGCCTATAAATGGCCACTTCTGAGCCAAGCCTCTGCTCACACGGAGAAGATTTGAGCATTAATCACCACGCTTCCTCAATGCGGGTTGGCGATTACAAACTCATAATTAGAAATTATAAGCCCAGGTTTCCCCACGATGTTTTCCTACACCGTTTATCAGTGGTGTCTGGATCTTAGAAAGTACATATAACTCTGTAAAGTCACATTGGTACTTGCCGTTGCTAGATTACGAACCCGTACATGAGAAGCGGGCGTCTTAAACCTCCGGGCCACCACGACATACATACAACTAGGATAATGTACGAAAAATATGGATTTTGGTATATACGTACACTGCTGGCTTGGTAGCCACCACCGCCCCCACCGCCTCCCTCCTTCTTCTGGAAGGGAGTGTGTCCAGGCGGGTAGTACACTGCAGGACCAGCCACGTTGCGGCTGTTGGCAACGACCGGGGACTTCGCTGGCGGACTGGGGGCGGAGTCCCGCGTGTCTCTGGTGTCTCTGTTCAATGTGGAGCTCTGCGTCGAGCTCTCGTGGGTGACGTGCACGTTGCGACGAACCACGCCGTCTGGCTGCGTTGGGAAGCGCTGGGAAGTAGAAATTAACGAGTTAGAAGTTAGGTAGGTACGGTTAACGCAGTACCCAAGTTACCCAAGCATTTTGTTAAAATATCTCAATGACAGCTACTGTTTTTGTTTATAGCCTATTTTTTTTATTTATTTAATAAAAGGTAACTACATGGTATGCCTTACATACATTCTAACGAGATGTCTAACAATAAAACTATACACAAATAGTTAAACTATTGACGAGGATGGGATAGTGTCACCTGCGGTCTAGGAGATTCAATATAGCTTACCTTGCTCGATAAATGGACTTTTTTATTTATTTTCATTGATTAACTCAAATACAAAAGTAATTATTGAAATCGAACCATATTTTCCCGAGATTCACAAGTTTAAAGAAATTCTTCAGCTTTGTAATATGTTACGAATAGAAAATAGATACTTACAGCTTCTGGGAAGTCAGCAAGCAGATCATCTAACTTCTTCGGTGGTTGCTGAGTGCCAGGCGAGGGGGTGCTGGGGCGGGGGAAGGGGCCAGGGGAGGGGGAGTTGGCGGGGTGCAGTGTGTGGGTGGGGCCGTGGGGGAGCGGGGACGGGGAGGGGTAGCGGTGGCTCGTGTTGTGGGTGGAATATGTCGTCTCCGAGAACTTGTACGATGATGGACCCTGGAGATGAAATTTCAAATTACATTTGGTGTTTTTAACTCAATTTAATATTTGAATAACTGTGCTGCTAAGTAGTGTAGCCATGATAGGAAAGGGCGTAAGAAAAAACACATTTTTCGAATAACAATAAGAATATATCAAACGACATTTTATTTATTTATTGATACAGCAAATTAAAGTTTCCTTGAAAATAATTGCTATACTGATTCCTCGACCTCGACGCACTATAAAAATATGTTTAATATTTATGTTTGTAGTCAAATTAAAAAAGAAATGTTTTTTAACCGACTTTTATATTAATAACTATCACATGACAATTTTATTCTTTGAGTTGAAAAATTGACCCTGAGGAGAATGTTTCAGTATATTAATTAACCTACTACTTACAAAAAAAAAGAGGGGGCAGTCGGTTTTTTTTAAAGTAGCTTTTTATAAAATAATTATTAGATACAGAACTTGTATAACTTACTGTATATTGGGGTAAGCATAAAAGATATCAATCAAATTAGTGAAGGTCAATCTACTATGGAGTCTTAGAACATTAAGTTTTAATATTTATTTATTTAATACTTACGTATGGGCCATGTCCATTATGCGGTTCAGAGGGTAACACCTTGGTCTCGTTGACGGGTGCAGGATACACCATGCGTTCATTGGTGCGATCTGAAACATTGGCAACCCCACTTTAATATCATGACATAACATCACGCCTTTTTATCCCCGAACGGGTAGGCAGAGGTACATACGGCACTTAATGCTGTACAATGTACACCCACGTTTCACTATTTATGTTATGAGTCCCATGTAATAGGGGGTAAGCCTATTGCCATATACCGGGCACATTTCCAGACTCCGTGCTACTACTGAGATTTTAAAAAATCCCAGTACTAC